TGATCCCCTATTGCCCTGGGGCCCCATGAGTTGTCAGTCCGCCCCTGGAGGTAGCAGAATGTGTTGTGGGGTGTAATGCCATTTATACCCATGGCCAAGACTCAACATGGCTCTCAGCAAATACCTTAAGGGTGTTGCTCTCAGAATAAATTATCAGTGCCTGCAGCACTTTAGGGGGAGATTTCTCCATCCACAGTTAAAAAAAAAAGAATGTGTATGCCCAGCATTAGGAGCATTGGGTGGTCAGCGAGCAGGAGTTTCTATGCTTCAGCATATACGTCTTTCACTTTGACTACGACAGTGTGGCAGGTAATCCAGTGACAAATGACACTGGCTGAGAAGGACGCTAGCTGACTCTGATGCTATCTGACGTCACTGGTGACATTAATGCAGTAATCAGTGACAAATACTGTACACTATACTAATGACACTGGTGACAGGACAATCAAAGGGCTAACTGGAGGGCAATCAAGGGGTTAAATGTACCTAACAAGTGCATGCAAGAACATGTGTTGATTTTGGTCACACAGGACCTGGCTTTTTTCTCTCCCTGAACGAAAAGAGCTCAGTGTGGAAAAACTGGTCAGATCCTGTGTGTTCAGCTGATCAGCAGGTTCATACCCAAAATCATTGGCCAAAACCTGTTTACAAACTTGTGCTGTAGCCAATCACAGCACAGGTCAGCAGGGGGTGTACACATGCGTGTCTGAAGTTCATCACAATGTATGGGTAAGTTGTGGTGCCTGGCTGTGCCACAGTAAAGTAGTTAAATAAAATAAAAAAAAAAAACATCACTTTTTTTTCAAGGACATTTTGACTACCCAAATTACAACACTCACATTCTAATAACACCATATTCTAATAGCTAATGTCTCCTAAATTTCAAAACTGATTAAACACTTGTAGTGCTGTATTTTTTTTTTTTTTAAGTTTCTTTATAGGACAATTCCCCCTACAGAAGACGTGTCATTACACGAAACGCGTCTAGGAGTAGCCCTTGCACGCCTTGACATCACGCCGCTGGATCAGGAGGTCCGGCGGCCACCCCATGGTTCCACTGGTCAGTGTATTCAGGAGCTTTTTATTACTCACAATCACCCTGTGCGTTTATACTCATATTGTTACTTCATTTATTTTATCTTAATAAACCTTTACAATACTACACTATGAGCACTTCTATCTTTACCACTTGGCACTGAGCCTCCACACCTCAGCCCAGTATTCCAGGTACCTGTCCAGGCTGGAGAAGTAAGAGTGTTAGACCAGACCACTATCCCCGGCACCTGCCATCTGAGTGACCACCAGAGGATACTCCCATTACCAGGCTATACTTTCACAGGACGTTCGGCTACATGAGATCTTTATACGCGCATTAAGATTGCGCTTCCGGTGAGTGGGCAATCTCTCTATATCTCCATGTCGGGATACTGGAACACACTCGTTTTTGATTGAGATTATACCTATTACCTTGGACTGTTTATCATTCAGTTTATTTAATTCTATATAGCCACTATTATTGATTCCCGGTCACCAGTGGGGCCCCAGCTGTCACTGACAGCTATGACTGAGAGCGAGCAGCTTTGTGAAATGACTGACTGTTGGCTCTCAAAAGGCATATTAATGTACCTGGAACGAGGCATGATTAAACCTATACTAATTGTAGGTGAGGAGGACGCTAATCTGACTTCTCTGCAATCTGTAATCACAAGGTCTTTAGGAGGCCAGTAGTTTACTTTCTCTTTGCTTACAACATCACCATTCATATTCAAACTTCCAAAGCAGGGCTGAATCTGATTGGTTGGCTGGTACCTTATAAACTAAACACTATTAAAAAAAATACATTTGGCCAAAAAACATTATAGTTTCCCTTTAAGATGTCAGGTAGAGCATACCTCCTTGCAGGAAGTTTTTGCTAAAGCATGTTGGCATTCCCCTGCAAAACTACTTCTGCCTTCTGTTTGCAAGTTATTAGTAAAATTCACATGTGAATTTCTAGTTATGACATTTTACATTGAATGAAGCAGTTGCAAATATCAGAACTTAAGATATATTTATTCACACTTAATAAACAGCTGTTCAGTTTAGATAGAGTAGTACGATTTCAGTTGGCAATGATTTTAAATTATTTATTTTGTATTTAATGGTCCTAGACAGGGGGAGCATCTATAATTTGTTTTAGCCATATAAAAATTATTATTTTAAATTTATACTGTCTTAATTTTATGAACAACTTTGAATTTTCCATTGGAATATACTTTTTTAGCTAAAAGGAAAGGAGACTAAAAATAAACATTAAATTCTGTATTCATGAAGCTGCAAATTTTTTCAGCATGTTCACTTATTTAGAAAAATTATGTTTACAGACCTAATGGGTATATGCATTTTATGTTATATTCTTTCCATTGTATCTTTTTGCCTATGTTACACATTAACGTCACCATAAAACATCCAGAAGTATATATTTTCTATGCTTTTAAAGATGTTTAGTCAAAAGGAAAATGTTAATGTCAAATGAAGAGTAATGTTTTCCTGGTGCCAACATAGCAGCATACATGTGGTAGTAGCCTTTCCTACTTCCACCCACAGGATCAGTGCATATTAATAAAGAGTTGATGCCCACACAACAGCCTATTCCCTCAATACACCATGATCGAAGATAGCACACTTGCAAGCAGTACCCAATAAGTAGCCAGAACAGTTATAGCTAGTTCCTTTGAAACCAACAAGGTGCCAGTGGACAGTCACCTTGTGGTTCCTAAAGTTAATTCAAAAAAGCCACTATCTGACTGGACTGCAGCTACCAGAAGTATTTGCTGTATAGTCGACCAGCTGCATCTGACCACTGTGGGTACCGTACAGAGAGATGTCAGTTGACACGATAGGCAGGATAGCCAAACAGATCCTTTTTATGGTGCGTTCCTGTAGCACTACTGATGGGCTCAGTAGTCCTCACTACAGCTGACTATGGAGGGAAGGCAATAGATTACTCACTTGCTTATAAGATAGCATTTGCTTAAAATGTAACTAAAAGCAAAACTTTTTTTTAGTTTTGGACAGAATGGAGATGTATTGGAATACCTGTCAAGTTTTTATTGCTACCTCTGCTTCTGTGAGGGAGATTCACCCTCTCTATTTATCCTGTTTGCCATTATCATTGAAAGTAATTGTAAAAGAAATCACACATTTTGGGTTTTCCCCAGAACATTAATGGAGGGGGGGAGGTGGAATCTTCCAATGGGGACACTAGTTATATCTATAGTTCTACTTCAAGCTTCCCAACCTGGTAGCTGGTTATTGGTCTACCACATGTATGCTGCCATGTTGGCACCGGGAAAATGGAAAATTGCATTGAATACATGCCATAATTTTCTTTGCTGGTGTCAGTCCTTGGCAGCATATTGAACCCACCCAGTTCATCCCTTGCAATGTACAGATAATGGGCTGTTGTATGGGCATCAAATCTTTATAGTTATGCACTGGTCCAGTGGGTGGAAGTGGTCGAGGCTACTACCACAAGGAAAATTATGGTAAGTGTTTGATACAATTTTCCATTAATACCTTTGCATAGTATCTAATACGCTAGGACTACTGCTGTTTTTTATATTTTGGGGGGCTTGAGTAGCCTGATCCCTTTGCTTTACTTCCATAATATGTTTCTACCCATCTTGGAGTTTGGTTTACCTTGTTGGGTTGTTCTTACTCTTCTAGCTGCATTTCATAGCATAATGTAAATAAACATCATACGGAGAAAGTAGGGTACTCTTGCAATGGCCTGAAAATTCAAGCAGAGATTTTGCCTCTGAAATTCATAAGAAATATAATTAAGTGTGGTTTAAGTCTCCACCATTTACCAAAATCTCAAATATAGTCAAATAGATATATTAATACACCTTGAATGTGTGTCTTTTCAAAATAATACTTTGTGTGGATTAAAAATTTAGTAGGGACATGGGCTTACAGGTAAGAAAAAAAGATGCTGGTACAAGCTGTCAATGACAGACTGTAAGAGTATTGGAAACCGACTTTATTACAAAAAAGAACTACATTCATAAATCAAAAACAATATTACTGTTCATTCAATTTAAAAAAAAGAAAAGAAAATATATGGGTAAATAACCCCATTCTTTGTGCTCCAGGTGATGGGCTCTTTAAGAGATACCGCCAGAGTTAATGACTGAGAAGGCTGATAAGGAAGAAAAAAGGTAGAAAGGAAGAGGAAATGAAATAATGGGAGGGTTGTTGAATGTTGTACCTGTTTGATGTTTGACATGCCTGTCAAAAAGCTCCACTGTTAGCTGGTCAGTGTGGTACCATTGTGTTTGGATTTTGTTTCACTAAAGTTTTTTACCTGGCTGAACTAAGCATATATCTTTTCTGTTACTGGGATTATACTGACTTGAAATTAAGCATCTCTTTTTGAGTTCTCTTTTGTGGATATGGACATTTATTCCACTGCTGACAAGCCTTTTAAGTTTATACCCTTCCTGTTGGCATAACGTACATATGTTTCAGCACAGTGGGTGGACGATAACACTAGCTTTACACTTCAGCCCCTGTCCGTTTAAGGATGAAAAAAGACACCCATGTATTTCTATGGACTAGCAGATGTAAACAGATTATCATCTGTTTACATACATTAATGTCTGCATCCATTAACATCCTTTTTTTTTTTAATGGAAGAACACCCTATTTTTCTTCCTAAAAAAAAAAAACCCAGAACATACAATGGCTGTAAATGGACAAAACGGACATACAGTCCATTTTTGCATTGGTAAAAGATGTAAAAAAAGGATGTAAACTGATGAATAACTTGCGTAAATTGATGAAAAACTGATGTGAACTGATGAAAAACTGATGTAAACTGATGAATAACTGATACTAACTGATCAGTTTTTTCTTGGAAAAAATGTGACTGAACTGATGAAAAACCTGAACGCCCATGTGAAAGGACCCATACACTTTATTGCTAAAAGTATTGGGACACCCCTCCATCTAGACACCTAGTCATGCAGACTGCTTCTACAAACATTTGTGAAAGAATGGGTCGCTCTCAGGAGCTCAGTGAATTCAAGCGTGGTACCGTGATAGGTTGCCACCTGTGCAATAAGCCCATCCGTGAAATTTCCTTGCTACTAAATATTCCACGGTCAACTGTTAGTGGTATGATAACAAAGTAGAAGCAACTGGGAACAACATAAAGTGATGGGCCACGTAAAATGACAGAGAGGGGTCAGCACATGCTGAAGCGCACAGCGCGCAGAAGTCGCCAACTGTCTGCAGAGTCAATAGTTAAAGACCTCCAAACTTTGTGTGGCTTTTAGATTAGCACAACAGTGTGTAGAGAACTTCATGGAATAGGTTTCTCTGGAGTGACAAATCACACTTCTCTGTCTAACAATCCGATGGAAGTGTCTGGGTTTGGCGGTTGCCAGGAAAACGGTATTTGCCTGACTGCATTGTGCCAAGTGTAAATTTTGGTGGAGGGGGGATTATGGTATGGGGTTGATTTTCAGGGGTTGGGCTTGGCCCTTTAGTTGCAGTAAAGGGAACTCTTCAGCATACCAAGACATTTTGGACAATTTCATGCTCTCAACTTTGTGGGAACAGTTTGTGGAAGGCCCCTTCCTGTTCCCTCATGACTGCTCACCAGTGCACAAAGCAAGGTCCATAAAGACATGGATGAGCGAGTTTGGGGTGGAGAAACTTAATTGGCCTGCACCTCGACCTGATAGAACACCTTTGGGATGAATTACAGCGCTGACTGCGAGCCAGGCCTTCTTGTCCGTCATTAATGCCTGATCTCACAAATGCACTTCTGGATGAATAGTCAAACATTCCCATAGACACACTCCTAAACCTTGTGGACAGTCTTCCCAGAAGAGTTGAAACTGTCATAGCTGCAAAGGATGGGCCAACTCAATACTGAACCCTATGGACTAAAACCATGGGACAATGAGATGCCATTAAGGTTCATGTGCGTGTAAAGGCAGGCGTTACAATACTTTTTGCAATATAGTGTAGATAAGTCAGTTGTCCTTACCGTTTTGTGCTGAGCAGCTCCCAGCACAGTAACTTAGTCACAGGATAGAGAACGACCTTTTATACAGACCTCCTTTATCTTTGGTGCAGCATTATATAGAGGCCAGCAAAAGTAAAAACTATGTCTTGATCAGAATCATACTTAAGTGATATAAAACAAAGCAAACACAAAAACCTAATCTGGATATAATTACCTGCCTCAATTCTTCATGAATGACAGGAAACATGGGGAAATATATCTCCCTTCGCAATGTCAGTAGGTCAATATATTGTGAGGTTTCCCACATACCCTTAGTAAAACAAACATTGTTTTCCCAAAATTTTAGTAAGTTCTGCTTTGGGTCCTAGAGCCTGCTCTGGGTGGGAGGAAGTCACTATCCCTAAGTCCACATCTTACCTGATAGCCAGACCTAATTATTAATGTCAGCTGTCTACAGGCTATTATATTTGCAGGTTAATTGATGCTCAGGGCTCTCCCTTGCTTTCTCTGCTATGGCAGCCTGCTGTTCAGTGAAAAGGCTGACAGAACACTAAAAAGGTACAAGTGCTGCTTGTTTATTTTGGAGAACCTACTGGGGACACCCTGTTAGTCAGTAACTAACAGTTTAGTTATTATCTTGGACAAGTTGATGTTTTGTTTGTTTTATGCTATGGACTTACTGTACAAAGTAACTGAAACTGTGTTTGTTTGGTACCTTGCTAAATAAAAGTGCAGGACAAGGCTGCCTGGACTGTTCCTGTGTATCCCTGTCTCATGCATGATTTACCGCTGCCAATACCAGTTGACCCAATCCTGGTATATTTATTTTCATAATCTAAAAATGTATATTTGTCACATGGAAAAATTAGGTACATCCCTACCTTTACCACAACTTCAAATTTGTGAAATTAGAATCAGGAGTTCCAAATTTAGTGAGAATGATTAGCAAGTGGTACTTGACTCACCTCAGATATCCAGAATCTGGTGCTCTCTTTGCTCTTGACACCCAGGGGTTTATTTACTAAAGCTGGTTCACTCAGAATCTGGTGCAGCTGTGCATGGTGGCCAATCAGTTTCTAACCTCAGCTTGTTCAATTAAGCTTTAGCAATAAAACCTGGAAGCTGATTGGTTTCTATGCAGAAGTGCACCAGATTCTGAGTGAACCGACTTTAGTAAATAAACCCGACCCTTGTCATCATGCCAAATGTAAAGAGCTCTCTAAGGCCCCCCAAAAAAAGGTTGTGGAAGCCTATGAGTCTGCAAGGGCTTTAAAAAGATTATCTAATTATTAGAAATCAATCATTCCATTGTAACCAAAATATTCAAAGACTGGTGGGCAGCTATGTAAATTACCTACAAGAAGGGAAATGCCAGCTTCTGAGGGCAAGGGTGTACCTACTTTTCCCACAGTACACTATTGATATTTTTGTTGAATAAAAATGATTGAAATGGCCATTTATTCACCTTACTGACTCTTACTGACCCATCTGACCAGCAGCATTTTGGATTTGGGCACAATTTTTCATCAATGAACATGGAATTTGGCTGACCTGTGAAACTGGGAGATCTGCCTAAAAACCTCATCTCTAGTATGAAAATATATACAAAAGGGGAAAAATAATGCAGCTCTATATTCATTAATACATTAATGAATGTATTTTAATGAAAACATTGTAATTACCTTTCATCAGCCTCTTGGAGTCCCTATACAGCAGAGATTAGATTGAGAGATAAAGAAGAAGCAAAAAGAGTCTGTGATTTCATGTGCTGACAAGGAACTTTCTGATAAGAGGAGAAAACAAGGTGAAAAGGAGATGATCTTATCATGGTGCTGCTTCTCCTTCACTGTCCATTCAGAAATTGGGTGCAGGTTCTTGATAACCTGAACTCAGAGAAAGTGAGTTTAATGATGTTTAATGATGCTGACCATTCAACTGAGAACCTAGAAGACATCTAGTTGAGTACTGTGGGAAAATCTTTTAATGAGCTGTTTATTTATTTTTACTTTTTCAATAATAATTTTTTATTATTTTTAAACAACAAAGACATATAAGTATATACAGGAAAAAGAAAATACAAAATAAAAAAATAAAAAAAAGCATGCGAGAACTTCTGGACATCAGACACAGAAAAGCCACATTATCCATAAATAATATTAAGTCAAATAAAGAGATTCCAACAAAAATGGAAAGTTCCAAACAGGGGCGGACTGACCATTTAGCCACTCGGGCACTGCCCGAGGGCCCGGGGTCAGTAGGGGGCCCCATGAGATGTCCCTGGTACCTTTCATAGGCTTTTTTGGGTGTGGTTTGAGTGTGGGTGAGGGCACAGGGGGCCCCATGATTTCCTATTGCCCAGGGGCCCCATGAGTTGTCACCCCTGCTTCCAAACCCTAACATTAAATAACCTTTTCTTTTGTATACAGTATCTGTTGGTTACTGATCTAAGCAAGTGTCTCACAGTGCTTTACATGGTTACTTCATATGTAATTTAGGGGAAACTACTAAAATAAAAAAATGTTTTTTATGTATTAACTAATTTTAATGAATGGAGTTTGTGGTAGAAATTTCTATTTTTTTCACATGCTACGTAGTTCACAAGCAAAAACCAATATGCGTCTGAGATTAAAATAAGAAGGATGTTTAGACATTATGCACCTCACCTACCTATACTTCAATAGGTACTATATTCATCAGCATCTTCAGTTATAGCTTGGCATTATAAAAGTATAAAACATTTTTTTACTGTAGCTTTCCAAACATTTCAGCAAAATGGCATTTTCCCTCTATGAGAAAATCAATCAGGAATTCATTGAAAACAAATGCCTGCATTATAGGCTTTATTTTCCAAAAACGTTTCTTCCAATATTTCATTGCATGCCAATTGTGAAAATATCAATTTGCCTGGGTGTAAGTTAAAGGTATTTTATGAAAACACTGAAGAAAAAGGATCCACTATATTCCTCACTGCATTTGCCTCTTACTTTTAAATCAGGGAGCAGAGCATTGTGTCCAGCTGAATTTAATGGTATACTCCAGAAAAACATGCAAACAGTTTTGCATTTAACTTGTTTCAAGGTACACAGTCCCAGGCCATTGTTGTTCCACTACAGGGCTAACAGAAGCAGAAGTCTCCTGCAAACTGCTTTGCAGCACTGCATCTTTCCAAGCCCATACAGATCCACCTTATCAGCTCACTGTGTGTGTATGGCCAAAACTACATGACACCATCTATCTAGTCCAAAGCAACACCTATAGCGGTTGAAAGTTACATCTTAAACCAGAGCCTTGCAGTAACCTGGAAGATAATTAATGCTTTTAACTTTGTTTCATTTTGTACTATTTCTCTGTTGTACCATACACTACAACCAACATACAGTTTGCTTGGCATTGTTCTGCTATACCAATTTTCCAGAGCTCTGTCTAATGTGAATACATTCTGATTTTAGATCTGCATAGAGACCCCCTGGAAGACCCTTCACAAGATGCAACTTATACATTTGTCTTACTTCAAATTACCCATTATTATACATCTCAGTATACCCACCCTCTTTAATGCTACTCTCACAATTGCTTAAGCTGGAATAATACTTCCAGGATCATGAAAATTTTCTGAATGTTTTGATTACTTTTTCAAAGAAAAAACTACCACTTGTTGCTCTAAAAAAAATTCAGCTAGAGGTATCTGTGTTATGGATCTTCATTGTCCTGGGCAGATATGGAACCTGGAAATTCAAAATAAGCCCTTAACTTCTTCACGCCTAAGGGTAAAACAAATCTTAATGCCTAAGCACAGTTTTGCAACTTTGACATGTGTTAGCAAAACCGTACATATCATCACTACTTTGTGCATCCAGGTGGATTATACCTTGTTTTTTTCAGGACAAATAGAGCTTTCATTTGGTGATAAATGGTAATGGATATATCCTGATTTTTTTTATTACCAAAGGAAAACTGGCCCAAAATAGTAAAACATTTTTTTTTAAATGTAGCTGTATATTTCTTGCTACTACCATAACCTACCACCAAAGAACAACTCAAAATAATTTCTCCTGCTCCTGTTGATTGCAGCAGTGCCACATGTGTGTATGTTAGTTGTTTGTACCCATAGTACAGCCCAGAAACAATAGTACGCAATTTGCTTTTTTATCCTGCCACTAACTGACACTGATACTAATTTAAAAATTAAATTAAAAAAAAAACTGACCCTGACCCTTGACCCTGACCTTTGACCCTGAGATTAACCTTTGACCTGAGTTTGACTCAAACACTAACCCTGGCACAGACCTAGATCAATCCTTGATCTAGGTATTTGTTTATTTTTTTATTTAATTTTTTTGTATTATAATTTCTATTTATTTATTTTTTACACATACTTGTTTTTTTTTCTCTCTGAAAGTACAGAGAGAGAGAGAGAGCGATACAATGTATCTCTCTCCTCCATTCAGAGAG